TGCCAGATTGCCAGATTTCTGTGGACTGTTAGGTCGTAATACAACTGTTCTGCGTTTTTCTTTCTAGCATAACATGAATATTGCTCATTAGCACACAGCAAGACATATTTCTGCATGTATCTATAATCCAGAGAAGAGTGTGCAACTTCCACACACTACAGAGGAACAGTCAAGAGAAAATGTGTATAAAAACATAGACTATGATGCTGTCTGAAGTCAATAAAAACAGAGCCACAAAACTGATGTACTATTTCATCTGGAATTCCCCTGATTTACAAAAGTAAGACTCCAAAGTGAAAAACAGGAATTAAAAAATCCCCCATACTTTAACAAGTTTCAGCTATTCATAACGTTGCATACCAATTTGCGTCAGCATGGACTGCAGAGCTCAGTATAGGAAATTCTTTCCCTTATTCTTACAAATGACTTTACAATCAATTGCAAGAATACCAAGTAAAATAGAAGTTGGAAGCTCAATATGTAGCCAAATCTTTCTGTATCTAGCATGTAGTTGCTCCTCATAGGACAGTGCAATGATTTCCAGTGCTCATGCAAGCACTCCGATGAAGTAAAATAAACACCAGAAAGAAATAAGAACAACCTTCCATATTCCAGGCTGCACAGCACATCAATTTAAACAGAACAGCACTTGCCCAACTCAGTTGTAAAAGAATCTGCAAGGCCAGTAATAACAGTTACATAAATCAGGAGAAACAAAACTCAGTGGAATCAAACAAGGGAATACGGAACTTTGCACAGTAGTTTGTTGGTTTTTTTTAACGAAATGAGTTTGAAACTCAGGCACTTGTATCAACCAAAACAGCCACCAACAGATATCCTAGGTAAAAAAATACTATACAAGCTGTCCAGCACAATACTTCAAGATCAAAGCTACACTCCAGCATAAAGAAAATACTCTTAGAAACACTGACAAGATCAGAATCACCCTGGAAAAAGGGATATGCTTTTCTCTGTCACCCCGTGTAATTTAGCAGGAGTTTCAGACTAGCTACAAAGCTGTTCGAACTTGTGATAACCTGCCTGCAGCCTCCGACACAGGCACTGGACCAACATTTAGTGGGTACTGAAAATAAGGTGCAATTAGTTGAGTTTCATGATGGGCTCTTCTTACTGTAAACAGTTCAAATGAAAAATTCAGTCCAACTTCACCAGTGTTTTAGGGAACTTCCAATACTGTTCCAAACTTCTCAGCTCCAATCTTCCTTAGTCTTTTCTTGAGTTAAAATAGTGTCCACATGGTGACCACAAACACATGCCTGCCCACCTTAAAAAGTTGTTCTTGAAAGCATAGTAAACACTTCAATCTGTGCAATAACTTCAAGCCCTGAAGTAGGCTCTAAAGTTTGTGAAAGTTATGTGAATAAAGAAGTCTTGTGGCAAGTACAAAAGATTTAGTAGAAAACTATTAATCTTACCAAAGTTTAGCCTCATCAAAGGAGAAAGAATGGACGCCCAGTTTACAGGTGGATACTGATGGCTTTCTCCAACTAATGCAATGGGTGCCAGTGCTACTTTCACCAGCTCAGCTGGGACAGATTCAGGGCCTACAACAGAAGATTCAATCAGAGTCTGAATTTTATACACACGCATTTGGCTAGACAGTTCAGGAAAAAAATACAAACACTGCAATGAAAACCAATCTGTAGTGAGGAACTGAAAAGAATTGTAAAACTGTTGTTATTTCTTTTTGTATGAGAATTGGCTATCTCTTGTTTGTAATCAACAGTTGTATTTTTAACATTAATGTCCTATCAAAAAAGGCTTTTTGTTACTAACAAATAAAAACTTTCTGGTTCCTTCTGCTTGAGCAAATTTATGAGTTGATTACAGATATTCCTCATCTAAGTAGGGTAGTATTTTCGCATTTGTTAGTAGGAGGACAGCAAAGTTCTCTGACCCTGCCCTCCTTCCCTATCCTGTAGGTGCAGGCCACAAGAATTGTCAGACGGGTGCTAACCTTTGCTACATACTGTTACTTAAACACAGGGAGTTAACTCAGTGAAAGTCCTCCTGGAGGCAAGGCATGGGCAACCTCCACTGAAAGCAAAGCCTGCTTCATAGGACAGCAGTGATCTCACTTAGCTCCAATAATCTCTGCTTTATCTCTCTCAAGACTGTACCCCAAGACAACTCTCTTTTACCAGCACTCCTCATTTAAAAGCATACTTTCTTCAGATTCCTTAGTGTTTACCACATGTAGCAGTAACCAATTTGAACACCACTCTGTTACAGAGAATCTTAAACTAGGATCACTGAAGTAAGGGGCAGCATAAAGTTTGTCTGATGATGGGAGTATTCCTGAGGATACACGCTAACACTTAAAGTGATTTGACTTTCATTCCCACACAGAAGATACATCATCTCACAGACACAGAGGGAAGGGGAAAGGTAAAGGGTTTAAAAAGTCATAAAAGTTCAGTAAACTAAAGTCCTAACTACACAACTCTACCTTACCTTTTTGAGTGTTACTCTATTTTTTTGTTTAGAGATTAAATATCCCACATTGGTGAGGTTCCATTTAGTATTCAGAAAAGTTCTCTTAGCAAGTGAAAGCAGGTTATTAGGGTCACCTTTTACAGTCGTAACAAATTTCCCAGAGGGATACTGTAGTTTGATCCCTTCTTACCTTTCTTTCCACTTTCAATGGCAAAGTCAATGGCTGCCCTGATAAAGCTGTTTTCAGGCAAGTAGCTAAAATCTGGAGGAACTGTAAAGACAGAAAGTCTGTTTATATACTAAAACATGTCAGCAGAAACTATACCATTCAGTTCCCATGTAAATGTAAAAGTCAAACTGAGCTATGTTTGAGCTAACTAATTCTGTGGGTGACTCAAAGCATTTAGACCACAAGATTATTGATAAATGAATTGGTCTTTCCACTTTTAAGGCAAGCTAAACATTCGTGTTGGTGAGACGTGCCAGGTCTGAAAAAACAAATTCACTGACTAACTAAAAAGCCAGGGCTAAGAACTTCCTTAAAATATATCAGGCACTGCAAGTCAGACTTTTAAAGGGAGAGCTTCAAAAGCTTAGTATGTTTAATACAACACAGACATTCCACATCTATCTAAGCTCAGGCACATGTGCCAAGATTATACAATAGTAGAAACACCAAGAATCTTTTTTTCTGTGATGAGGAAGTTTATCTACACTTTAGATTATTGGTTCCCAACTTGGTTCACACTGAAGTGAACAGCTTCCACTTCATCAGTTCCCTCCTTTTACCAGTATTTCATCAATGGTGTAATCCTGCCTTGATTTTACCAACAAATATTGAAACAACACCAGAACGTAATGATGTATCGACAGAATTTTCTGTGCTAACTGCTACACTGAAAGGGCACAGAACACTAGTTTTTGATTTCAGCTAACCAGAGAAGATGTCCTCTAGAAAAATACTTCTGAAAAGTCAGCTTACTCTTTTATGAACCAGTTTATTAAGTGTTGGATTTCTATACACTGAAAAGTGCTAAAACAAGAGAGTAGATTAATCAGTTCTCAGGGCATGGAATGGATAATGTAGGTGTGAAACACATGTGCCATACGCAGCGTAAAACTTCTTTACAATTTGCTTTATAAAAGAATAAAGACAGAAGCAATATACAAGTCTGACCAGAACAACTTAGAACCTCACTTTGATACTGCAAGTAAAAGCAGATGAGGGGATCTTACTCAGCACACTGATTCCTGCTTCACGTTCCAAACTGTAGGTCTGGCACACAGAACTATGAGGTCTCCGATTCAAAGGCTGTCACGTCATTTAATAGGGCTGCAGTGTCTAGCCTGTATTATTTAATGTGTCCCTTGCTGCCTTTGTAGCTAGGTGCTACTTCTATATGTTCTTTAAGCAGCAATAATAAAGCATCTTACCAGATGCCCTGTTCTGGGTAGAACACAAACAGGACATATGAAGGCGTCCCAAAAGTCCTGCTGCATTTGTCTGAAGGCCAATCTGCCCCGAAAAACTGATTATCTGTTGAGACAATAAACAATTAGACAAATTTCCTTACATTGCCTCATTCAAGCTGGACACAGACATTATGCAGTTTCTTTAAACAGATTTGGTCTGTTTGTGCAAGGTGTCACAGTACCCTAGTGCATTATCCAAAGCAGGAAAGGGAGGCTACCTTCTTACCTGTGTAAGGATTCTGATGACTTCATTCAGCTTACTTTGAAACTGGGAGGACTGAATGCTCTCAGATTTCATCTGCCAAAGAAAAAAAATTATGTGAATTTTATAAGGGGACAAGAAACAACAAAACAGAACAGGTGCTGAAAAGACATATTATATTAGCACAAATGCATTTTTGTGGGGGAGTAGAGGAGAAAAGGAGAAAGCCTACACAGTTGTAAAATCTTCCCCAATGGCACTGCATATGAACCACAAGATGGGAAAATGGAAAAGAGCCCTTTTCACACATTGTAATTCTACCCTGCTTGGTTCATGCCCAACATGACTTACTATTGCATAAATGGGATGCCCTGGTATATAACCACCTCTGTAAGGATGTAGGGGATGTCATTCCATCTTGCCTTCCAGCCAAATTTCCAGAAGAGATAAAGGTACTATTTGCTTGCATGTTCTCACCTGTATCACGCCTGCTTCAGAGCCCACCAGTGCAACCAGCCCACTGACAGCAGCTAGACGCTGCATTGTTGGAGAACCCTGGAGGCGTAATTAAGGGTCAGTGAGTCAATGCAGTCACACATTACTATAGAATAAACCACTTGTTTCTCCCAACTTAAAAACCATGACTGCTATCATTTGTACACCTCTCTCATCCCAACAACCTTTTCAGGTCAAACTCCACCATGCTGGATAATTATTCATCCCTCTCTTGGTGAATGAAGGCTTTATATGGAGCTTCCCCCCAACCCTCTAATCTGAAATCATCATGCATTTCCCCCTGACAAATCACTTTTTTGTAGCAGTCTGTGTTCCACAAAATATGCCAGTGCAATTCAACTCTGAAACACTGTTTCTTTATTGATATTTACATTCAGCTGCAATATTAATGTTTAAGTTCAGAGTTTGATTTCAAACATGTAATTTTTATTACAGTGAGATAAATTAAAATTACTATAACAACTGAGGCACTGTAATCACCATTCGGTTAGTCTAGTTTTGATGAGTAGCACCTAATTTCACAAGGCATCTTCATTTAATAGCCTAGATTTTATCCTTGGATCTTGATCCAAATTAATAAAGATGTCCAAATTAAAATCTCATTGAGATAAGCATTTCCCATAAATCATGGAAGCAGAAGAGAAAGAGGTTTTTGTTCCTTTAGCAAACAGCCCAAAGATACATTTTTGCTTCCAAGTATCAGTCAAACAGCATGTTCAGATAGTCCTAACTTCTCCTAGCATCGCTCCTGCAGAAGCAGGGACAATTATGTCCCTACTGTTCATTTAAAAAAATCACAGACACCCTGCAGAAACCAGGATATGAATTCAAATTCCTTTACCTCTGCAAGCACAATTTTTATCCAGGCTGGCATTAGTTTGTTACTCAGGTCGTCCGCTTTCCCGTGACCGCAAGCTGATAATCCATGTACTATTGCACCTAGAGCTAAAGCAAAACCGTGGGTCTGCAGGGGAAAAAGACAAATTAAAAAACACTTCTTCCAAAGGATTCAGTATTTTTATTATTTATTATTGAAACATTACTGAAATATTTATTATTTCCCAATAATTAGAAGTAATATCTTTGTCTAAAATACTGGATGCTTTCTTATTTCAAGTATTTTGTCATGTCAAGCGACATATGATTTTTCTGAGATTAAATACTGATCTTTGGCACATAGATTGCTCTGGAGTCTTTATTTTAGATGAGACTTTCTGACATAAAGATAAAAAGCTGTGGCAAAAGTAGTTTGATTTCCTATTTTCCAAATAAACATTCTAAACAGTTGATTAGTGTAATAGCAGGCTTTGAATCAAAATGGTTGCCTTTTTATTTTTCTTTCCCTTTTTTTCTGGCAAGCGTTTAATAAAAAGGAATACGCACTGAAATATGGAGACTATTTTTGGCAGTTTTAGAGCGTAACTCTAGGATACTAGGGATGAAACAGAGACCTGGAGGAAGCTGTGGCTGTGGTTACAATGCACTATCTGGAGACTAAGGGAAAGCAAAAATTCAGAAGAGCACAGTAGATGTATTTTCCTACCAAGAAAAAGAATCTAAAGAAACATTACAAAAGGGACATAAATTGGCTGGATGCAGGGACTAAAGACATGAAGAACTCAAAAGTACCAACTTCTGTTCTAAATGCAATCAGATCTATAAAATCTGGTTTTATTTCACTGTCTGGTAATTGCTATACATCTGCAGACAATGCATCAATGGATCAAGCAGTAGTCTTGGTAATAGCACAGTATTCAAACATGCCCATTGTTAGTTAACGCTGAAAGTACATCAATATAATTTTCTTGAAGTTACAGTCTGAGTAAAGCAGTATCCAATATTAAATAGATAAGAGAAAGAGAACTGAAGCAAAGCTCAAACACTGAATTATGACCTGCTGATTATTTTCCACTAAGGTCCGTAGCTTGTTCATGGCTTCCTCAGCCTCAGCTGCTTCTATGATTCCAACACTGAAAGCAGAGATGCAGGAACAGGCTACAGAATAGGCAAGTACCTGAAAAAAAAATATTTAATTCTGTTAACCAGTGTCTGATCGAATTCATTGTAGCAATGTGCACAGGGAACAATGTGCCAGCATGATGAAAAAGCCATGACAATTTCAATTATACTTTCAGATGTTTATTCCCTCTCTGAAAGATTCTTTATTGATGCCAACATTAAACAAATACAAGTAAAGCTTGGAAGCACTTCTGGTTTTATGTAGGTCAAACTCCTGATCTTCCACACAAATGTAGTTATTCTTCTCAGCCCAAGTATCTGATGATTATTTATATGAGCATACACACCACGCTGTGAGCCTATCAGGGCTACAAGCAGGTCTACAAGGCGAGAAGACGAGCATGCAGTAGAACTGTCTCCCACACACACTGTGTGACACTGCCCTCATGTCCTTGCAGAATGATTCACAAGCGACACTGCTTTTCTGTTTTTCAGCCTTAGACATGGAAAATAAGGAAATGAAGTCTGAACTTTCAACAAGGAAACTGTGCCAACCGTTTAACCTCCTTTGTACTAAAGCTAAGCAACAGAACAACATGTGACTATAAGGGAAGTAGAGTGCACCTACCTACTGTGCAGGATTGACAACAATTTGACTTGGAGAAAGTAATGCTCAGATTGTACCTCTTGCTGCAGCAGGCCAAAGTTACCTGTCAAGTACAGGATTATATCCCAGCCATTTATAGCTGTGAAAGAGCCTCTTGTGCATTTCAAACAGGGTAGTATTCATCCTAGGGTGCTGACCAAGTTTTACTCGTGAAAATTATCTGTAAAATTCCTTACAGAGATTTTAATTGAAAAGGGTAGGTTTTGCTTCTCATCCCAAACTATCTCATGATGTTAAACAGCTGCTGCCTTTCATCTCAGAAGTTCCTGTATTGAACCCAGTTTAAGTTCAGTAGAGCACTTCGAGCTCACTGGGGAGAGAGAAATGATTTCCTAGCTGCAAGTCATTTTAATGCATGAACCATAAACTGCAAAAGGCTAATCCCCAACACATATGTACTGCCAAAAAATTAAACTCCATAAAAGACAACCTTCAATAAAGAGGTTTCAGCGCAGTACTAAGAGGGGTAAGAGAACAACACTGCCAACCTCTGCTAACTCCCTTAGAAAAAACAGAGGATTATGTCACTCAGCTGTTCAGCTGCTGCAGACTTACATACATCAGGTACAGGGTTGCTTTTTTTTGTGCAAAGCACCTGCTTATTTCAATTCTTTTTTTCTGTTGAAAAGTTCTCCAATTTCATCAGTTTTCCTTTTCAAGTTTTACCTCAACAAGGTTATAGACTTAGTGCATGGACCACATCAAAACTTACAGGACATATCTTGGCAAAATAAATTGAAATGCATGCTCAAACTTAGCAGAGCTCAGTTTAAGTATTCCAAACATAGTTATAAAGAGAACAGCAAATGGGGACAGAGCAGCATTCACAAGTGCAAGATTCATATTAGCTAGTGACAGTAGCTTTCAAAGAAGGAAACTGAAGGCATATTGAAGCAGGAAGTATTAGCATTAAGATTCTCTCTGACAGTAACTTGCTTTCTGCTTTCTAGTAGATCAGACAAGAAGTAAACAACTGTATACAAAAGACACCCATATGCACAGTTACTCAGGGTCCAACTTTCAATAATTTAATTTGAGGTTAAGGAATTAAAGAAGCTCTTTAAAGAATGATACCTGTTATCTTTTCAGGCAGCTTCTTAATATTTGTGCAGCATTACAGGTTATTCTATTATCATTATTATTATTGTTTTCTTCAGCAGATATAAACCCACATACTGTGAAAGAAGTAATGGACACCAAGCATTCCAGTACTACAGATACAAAGTTTCAGTAAAAAGTCTATAGTTATTAAAGGGAGGCAACAAAGTAAAATGAAGATTTAAAATTTGTGATGAAATATGTCATACCTCCTGGACCCATCTGCTTTGGTCTTCACTGCTGTCCAGGTATTTGCAGAGTTTTCGCAATGAAGCAGAAACATGCACTCGCGATTCTGTTTGGCTACTGTGACTCATAAGTGAAAGAACAAGTCCTACTCCCAAAATACATCCAGTGCTTAAAGAGAAGACAAAAGTAAAAGGATTAAGTATGCTTTGGCTGCTCTGAACTCTCTTTTCACCCCAACATGGGCTGCTGAGCAAAAAGACCTCTTGGCCTTGCCACAGTCAATTTTACAAATGGTTTTTATCTCACACATAGGCGATGCTTTTTGGGAGAAACAGGATGAAAGGAGAGTATAAGAAGAAAATGTGTGTTTAAAATAAATCCTACACATACAGCCCCACTATTCCTTCTGTCCCTGAAGAACCAATAGCCCCATCAACAAGCACATCAACTAGTATGAGGGAAGTATGGATCCAAACTTCTACATCTGATTTATACTGACATCCTGAACTCTGATATCCCAGTTAAACACAGTAATTGCAGGTCCACTAGCTGTATTAGGGTTTGTTGCTCTCAGACTCCTGCAAGAGGAGGATAATTACATTATAGTAATATATATATAAAAAAATATAA